GAAGCTGCGGTAGCCGTGCATGGCGGGGGGCGAGGTCTTAAATCACTTGACGTACCCGTTAGCCGAGCTGCCGTTAAGGTGGCGCTGGAGGGGGACACACGGCTATGGAGGTCAGTCAATGCGCGGTCCGGCGAGTCGCCTTTGCCCTGCGACCGGCCGGGGTGGCGCCGCTAGTAATGGGGGTGGCGAGGGGGAGGGGTAAAATGGCGGCGCCGAGATTCGGTTGTGAGTGAGGCTGTGAGGATCACTCCGAGGATGAGAAAGCGGGTAAGGCGGGAGGGCAGCTGTAGTCGTCTAATATCCGCGGGGGCGGAAAACAGCGCTTGCAAGCTCTTCTGGTACCGTGTGTGTAGGTGCACGCTAGAAGCGGTTTGCAGCACTTGGTTCCTGTTTAGCCCCAGGACCCGGGTGTTATTTATCTTCCCCCCCCTCATCTGGGGTCGGTGCTTCCAGAAGTTCTTTCCTTCCCGCCGCATCGCTGTCCCCGGAGGCGACGGCTGCTTCTGGGCGCCATTTTCCCCTTCTAGCTGCGGGGGCCCCTGTTTTCCTGATATCCGCCACATGGCGGAGCCGGCACTGCCGGTAACCGCTTCACTCCTGATAACATGAGGCTGCGGGGAAGGGGGAGAACCAGGCTGCTGGATTGCAAAGCCCTGTAGAGCGTGTAGGGGCTAGTGGGGCGCTTGGAGAGGGAGGGGAGAGAGAGAGCAGTGTCTTTCTGGTTTGGGACCGGTAAACCCAGCTTTTTATTACTTGGCAGGCCTAGCGGTAGTAGTTCAGAGATCCCACTTGCTTGTTTCTGTTAACCATTTTTGTTACTCAGGTTCTGATTCTGCACAAGTCTGTGGTCAGCTTGGAGTATTTGTGCACATATTATTGCTATAAGAAACACATTTCCTTGCTCTGATGATGAATCTTCCAGCAAAGGCTGCGCATTTTCCGGTCCTTTGAAATGCTGCTTTAAGCCTGTGAAGGAAGGCTTAAAGTAAGCGCTAATGAAGAGTCTACAGGGTTCATAAAGATTTCTTCTCACACTCCATTCCTGCCACAGAGTGTACTATGGAAATCTTGAAAGAGGTTTTTCTTCCAGCTTTTATATTGTGGACCTTGGTGGGGGTGGGTTGGTTTTTACCAAATGGCGATTTTCATCAAGATTCTGAGAGGGACTGGAGTGATAGTAATTTTTATCATACATTTTACAGCTTCAGCATAAACTTCAGATGGTCAGAGCTCTCTGGGCCCTGGTGGGAGGTTAATGCTAGACTAACCAGAGCTTCTTAAAACTGACACATTTAAGATAAATAGTCTCTGCATCCAGAGGCTGTGCATGTATTAGTGGAACAACACATTTATGATATTTTCACGCATAGGTTTTAATTGAAGAGCTGGTAGTGAATTTGTTATTGCTGCATCCCGACATGTTTGTGGTGCCTAGATGTTGTTCTGGGTAGGGCAGTACTGCATGACACTTAATACATGGTAGATGACAGTTTCTAAGAATTCATACATCTGTAAAGTGTGTTATTACTCTGTTTAATGTTTATTAGTAATGTGTGGTATATGTTTGTCCTTTAAAAAACAAATGCAGTTGTTACAGCTGATAGATTCCATTCCTTCCTTGAGTTTCCCTTATATGTTTATAACTGTTTTCAAAGGTAAACCTAACACTTACTGGAAAAATCCTACCTGCCTACTAAATTTGCTTGATTGTCATATTTTTATAAGAATATTAACGTGCATTATTAGATGCATGACAGTCGGTTATATAGGAAGAAGTGTCTTTTGTGGGCCTATGAAACTGTAGCAAGTAGTCCCTAATTTTCAAGCAGCAGAACTGAAGTAATTTGAAGGGGGGATTTTTCTGGCAGTGTCATTGCTTAAAATGATTTCTCTGCTAGCCTACTGAAATTATAAATGATAGTATGACTTTCAGCATATGACTTTTTAGTCCAAGTCTGGTATGCAGCGTCCTTTATTCCTTTTAAGAGATGAGGTGAAAGGAAACTTGACATAACATGGGTTTGCTGCTTTTAAACTCTTGTGTCTAATTTTGCCTGTCTGTACAAGGAGGAGACGTTACTAGCTTCCTCTGTGTTCCTTAGAAAAAATACTAGATCCAACAGCAGATTCCAAGTGTTTTTAAGAGACATTTAAACTGATCGTTCTCAAATACAGTATTTATTTTGGGGGGAACAAAGTTTATTTTTCTAATGGTTGACTTCCTTGTCAGACTGCAGTATCTCAAGCTGGTAATAAGGCGATGCATTTTGAACAAAAACTGATTTAGTACTACCTACAGTAATTGTCTTCCTGTTACATGCATCTAGATCCGGGCCTGCCTTGGACAACCTCAGAAAACATGTTGGTCTACGTGCAGATTGGCTTAATACTTTTAAAAGCATTTGTGCACTGAACTATTTTGCTTATTTTCCAAATCTCATTGTTTGTCATCGGTTGTCTAATATCCTTTTACATTTATCTTGATGTCCAGTGCATAGTTGGTTATGTTGTGTTTGTCAGTTATAGCGAACTGTGCAGTGTTTGGGTTGTTTAAAAAAACAACTACCACTGTAAAGAAAACACATAAAACCAAACCCCCAAGCAGATTTTCTTGATTTTTAAAATTAGTTAACAGTATAAAGCTGAAATAAGCATTGCATTTGAGTTCTCTTGTCCCTAGCAGGACAGTTGTCTTTCAGACAACATCCTGAAATCTTAGATTTTGTGGAAGGGGACTACTTTTTAGTGTATTTTTTAAATTGTTGCTGTTTGACATATGAAATTGCAAAATGTATAATCTAGTGATGCTGTTGTGTGTAGAAAAGGACAATTACGATGCCTGCTTAGTATAAAAAGTTAGTATAAAAGTGTTTTTAACTGGTAGAGGTTGGAAGCTTGTCCTTCCAGCTTTGGTATAATACCACATACAAAATAGTAAATGTAATACCTTATTATTGGTCCTGTTTTTTTTTTAATGATGTACTTATCATCACAGCAGAAATTTCTGTTGAAACAGAATCTGAACAAGCGCAGTGATAATTTCTCTGAAAGGTAATAGAACAAAGTCTTACTGAAAGCGTAATTTATATTAGCGGATGCATATGCAAATATGTATTATTCACATTTCTGTTTTAAAGGGAATCCACTTAGTTTTGATACTGCTGCTGTTGAGGGTGGATGTTTTTACCGCTAATTCCAGTGGTGCAGGATCTCAGATTAATTTTACAGGTGCTCCGGCTTTCATTTGTTTCAATAATGAATAAGAAAAATATGAATTTGGTGAGCTGTATCTTCGTTTTTTATTTTTAATGCCTTGGGTAAATAGCATGATAGTATTCATGTACAACAACTTGAGCCAGAATGGTTTTTAGAAATAAATGCCACCTGGAATAGAATCGGACAGTATGAATCAATTCACGTTATCTGTAATGAGAACTTTTGGTTTTGGTTTTATTTTCCTTTTCTTTAAAAAGGATCTCCTACAGATCTTTGAGAGGATTATTCTGGAAGTCTTTGAGTGTGGTTCCTTGTTCTTAACACTTGGAGGGAGAGATGGGAAGCAGCACATTATTAAATCTGTATTGTAAAAGTGCACCTATAGAATTGCATAAATAGCTTAATTTCTTGAATCGTGGTAGAAAATCTAGAAGAGCCAAGCCTAATTTTGAAAAATACGTCTTATGGAAAGTTTTTGACACTTAAGAAAATCTTACTTAGTGTCTAATTGTGCTGATGCAGAGGTGGTATTGTTAATTATATTAATGTAATCTTCTTTTCTGTGATAGAGGGAAAAGGAGCAGTTCCGCAAACTCTTTATTGGCGGCTTAAGCTTTGAAACAACAGAGGAAAGCTTGAGGAGTTACTACGAGCAATGGGGAAAGCTTACAGACTGTGTGGTAAGTTTGGCATACTAATGTGCAACAATGGCATAGAATGTTTAGAAGTCGTAAAGTGCGGAGTTTGCTTTCTGGATAGCTTAATGAAAAGATGGAATATTAAATGTTCTTAAGTGTTGGTTGGTTTATACATAATTCAGTCCGTTGAAGCTATGCACAGGCTTTCCCTTGCAAACTGTTGATAAAGTTAGGGAGCGTTCACAAGCTGTTTCCTGTGAAATCTCAGAGATTATCTGTAACCACCAATTTCAACAGTTTGAAATTAACTTGGGTGTCACTGGCTGAAGTGCATTAGGGAGTCCTTACACAGAGCACTGCTACATCTGTGTGACTGGTAACCTTTGCCAGAAAGCTGATGTCGTGGTAAGCAGCCTCAATAAAGCTGGAAGAGGATGTCTTTCTGTGTGATGTTTTCATAGAATCATTTAGGTTGGAAAAGACTCTTCAGATCATCGAGTCCAGCTGTAAACCTGACGCTGCCAAGTCCACCACTAAACCATGTCCCTAAGCACAATGTCTATACGTCTTTTAAATACCTCCAGGTATTTAAAAGGGATGGTGACTCTTGCAGAAGTTCCTCCACTGAATTTGTTTTGGGAGCAGTAAATACATACTTTATAACACAAATTTAAAGTTTGTGGTCTTCAGAAAGCTTAAAAGAAATTATGTATTTGATTTTTTGAGAAAACAAACATAAATACAAACATATGTCACTGATATAGCAGCATTTCTCAGTTACGCATAGAGTCTTAGGGGACAACAATGGTTTGAATTTCTGTGATGCCAAGCAGTGCGGTTCATGTACTTAATCAGCATAGCTTGCTACTTTATTGTAATTGTGTTTTGGAATCAAATCAAGGAAAATGTCGATTAAGTTTACGTGTTTTCTCTAAATGTTGTTAGTGTGAAGCTTAACATGAGACAGGTAGAAATGGTTTAAACGTGTTTATTATTTCTAGGTAATGAGGGATCCAGCAAGCAAAAGATCGAGGGGGTTTGGTTTTGTAACATTCTCCTCCATGGCTGAAGTTGATGCAGCAATGGCTGCAAGACCTCACACGATTGATGGAAGGGTGGTTGAGCCTAAGAGAGCTGTGGCTAGAGAGGTCAGTATGGCTTTGAAAGCAGATACTTTCCATGCTTTGAAAAAGGAATCTCTGTTTTGGTCGGACAGTTACGCTTTGTTCTTGTTTGAAATTGCCTGGGTTTAAATTCTCTAGTTAAATGGGCGTAGTTGGGGCACTATTTTCCACACGTTTGATCTGTTAAATGACACTATTACATAAATGTCTATTATTACAGTGAATTATTAAGTTACTCTGGTTGTAGAATCATGTCTGCAAGGGACGCAACTGGGGTCTGAAAGTATTGTTAGCAAAGACATGTTGAATGCCTGTAATTATGCAAATTCCAAACTAACTCTTCTCTGGAATGGTTACTGTTACTAAACCTCAAATTAATAAACTCCTGTCAACCTCTCCTGACTATTCCAAGATCTTTCTGGGTATTTCTAAAAGGTTTGTAACTGAAGTGACTAAAAATAGAAAACGTAGTAGGGAAACTCTTCTTTTTTCCAGTGGTGGTGTACAAAATCATCTTAGGACTACTGGTTTTAGCCCCAAGCATACTTGGTTTTAAACTTCAGGGTACAAATTAGGTGTGTCCACAGGAATGGAGTGCACCTGTAAACTTTTCAGCCAGGTTACTGTTGCACAGAGGTACTTGAGGAGCAAGTGCAGATTCTGGGTGACTTCTGTTTACCACGTTGTGGGAGCTCTGGGAGGGTTTGCCAGTTTAAGGTTGGACCCCAGTGTTCAGTGCATTTGGACTGATGAACTGGAATTGAATGACCTGTCCCAGAGGTCAAGGGAAATGGAAATCGTAACCACTGGTACCCCTGTTAGCTATCCCAGTTTTCTTTCCATTCCCTGCAGAATGCAGGGTTGGTTACCATTTGGAAAAGGTAATTAAAGCAGCATGTGTGTATACTGTTTATACACACAAAGCTACTGCTAAGCTTTAGGAATAAGTCATTCCTACCTAGTGCAGCAGCTTGGATATCCTGCTCAAAGTGTAAAAACAACCCATGAATGTGAGGAGTTGCCTTCATATTTTGAATAGGGGTTAAAATGCGTAGCTGTGGATTCGCTGAGGTTGAGGGACCTTTGCTGTTGATATGAGCGGAATGTGGGTTTCACTGCTGTTGGGGAAATGGGCAGAGGAAGCTGACACATCTTTGTTTCAATTATAAAAATCATGCTCTAGTTTAAGTTATTAAATACTTGCAGTTCTTTCAAACAGTTGATCTTACATTTTCTCTAAATATGTTTAAAGGCTTTTTATTTATTTACTTTTAGGCATTTCCTAGCACTTTTATCTGTATCTTTTTCAGTGCTTTTAAGGCTTTGACAAAAGGGGGGAGGAAAAACCTGCAAATTGCCCCATGTTACTTGCCTCCCAGAAGGCCCCCCAAGCAAGGTTGCAGGGACATACATCATAAGAGGGCTACTGCAGTGCTTGAAAAATCTTAGTTTATCAGTATTCCATTCCTGAAGTCCTGGCAACAGTGATTTGTGAAATTGCTTTTCTGTGTGGTAATTTAAAGGATTCTTTTAACAGGAATCTGGAAAACCTGGTGCTCATGTTACTGTGAAAAAACTATTTGTTGGTGGTATTAAAGAGGACACTGAAGAGCACCACCTTCGTGACTACTTTGAGGAATATGGAAAAATCGACACTATTGAAATCATTACTGACAGACAGTCTGGTAAAAAGAGAGGGTTTGGATTTGTTACATTTGATGACCATGATCCTGTGGATAAAATTGTATGTAAGTAAGCTTCATTTCGCTCTTTCATTTGATAGTATTAATCCTTGCAGTCATGGTAATTGTGCAAAGTTAAACTTAAATCATAGTAATTGTAAAGCTAAACTTAAAGAGATAATGGGATTAGTTATGTGCATGAATATTTGCTACACAATAGTTTTGGTGAATTGTGTGGGAACCTGTATTTTAAAAGAGTACTGGCTTTTTTTGCTTAAAAATTGTATGGTAGTTTGGGGTTTTTGAACTACATGGTATATGTATGGATTAATTTGGAAATTACTTAAGTTTTGGAAGCCTGATATTCTTATTTGTTGCCAGATCAGTACTTAAATGCTGATGGTATCTTATTTTATGTGGTTACAGTGCAGAAGTATCACACCATCAATGGCCATAATGCAGAAGTAAGGAAAGCTCTCTCTAGACAGGAAATGCAGGAAGTTCAAAATTCTAGAAGTGGGAGAGGAGGTATGTACAAGTAACGGTTAATGGTCTGTGGTTGATTGTTGTGTTCACTTTCCATGATCTCACTGCTTATCATTGTTAAACTGTTGCAGGGAACTTTGGTTTTGGTGATGCACGTGGAGGTGGTGGCAACTTTGGTCCAGGACCTGGCAGCAATTTCAGAGGGGGAGCCGGTAAGACAGGCATGTTTGTAGCATTTTTTTTTTCCTTATTTATACTGTCTTTCTGGTTCTGGGTAACTTTGTAAGCTACTGCTGTTTAATTTAAATGCAGCTGTGGCAGTTAGAGAATTTTTGAGGAAAATAACTTGCAAACCTCTTCTGTAGTACACAAATTGATTATGTGGATATTCAGTAAAATGAAGTTATTTTAATTTTCTTTTTTCTTTTTTCTTTTTTTTTTCTTTTTTTTTTAGGATTTTATTAGAAGCCAAAATTAACCTAAACTTAATAATTTTGTTAAGGAATTCGGAGATTTCTCCTGTGTAATTCTGTGCAGCACTTGCCTGACCTTTACAGTGGAAGGGCTATGTCCAAAATTAAAACTGGGTACCTTACAAATGCAGAAAATAGAAGATGTAGAGCAATGATTGGATGTGTTATTTTACATATATTTTTCTAAATTCAAGTATACATGTGCTTAAACAATAATCCTTAAGGTCATAGGGGTTTGAGAATTCAGTTAGTTTGCTACAGGTGAATTGAAATACTTTGGTTTTTTTCTCCAACAGATGGATATGGAAGTGGCCGCGGATTTGGTGATGGGTATAACGGATATGGTGGAGGACCTGGAGGTTAGTTTACTTTCTTGGTGGTGGTGGTTGTTTTTCTCTCATTCAGAAACAGTTGTACATTCACTTACCATTTGTATAAAATTTATATTAATTGCCAAAGCCATTTTGTTGTCTTTAAGAAGCACACATGGCTGTTCGCTCATGCTGAACCTTTATATGGTAAATTTTATGGTTATTTCTTGCACAGTCCTGCCCATTTCTTCAGAATAGCAGTGTTTCTTAAATTTCCTGAAAAATCAAGATTTTAATGAAGCCTTTTAATTGGGGGGGTTTAGGCAGTCTGACTGGTGGGTTTTGGTCACAGTTCAGTTAGGTTGGGAGCTGGTATGTGCCTTTAAAAAAATAGTGTTCATAGAAATTTCTTTACAAAACTCCTACCCTTTTCTTCCGCTGTACACTTCTAAACAGAAAAATATCCTCTGATTCTGTAGAATTTGGTTGCCTTCTACACCGAAAAGTTTATTTTAAAGGATTATATTGTCATAGGTGGCAACTTTGGTGGCAGTCCTGGTTACGGAGGAGGAAGAGGAGGATATGGTGGAGGAGGACCTGGATATGGCAACCAGGGTGGGGGCTATGGAGGTGGTTATGACAACTATGGAGGAGGTAACCTACTGGCTTGAAATGACCAAGCATTTCAGTTGTAAATTAGTGCAAGTCATTTGAGATTGGGGGGGGGGCACTGTAAATGTTGTCTAAGGAAGCTTTTGTTTTCCAAATAGTATGAAATAGTATGAAAAAGCAGCTTGTTGCATACACTGCTGGAATACTTGTGTGATTTTGTACTTTATTTAAAATTCTAATAATGAGATAACTTTGTGAGTGCCATATGCATTTTAGCTCATCTAGGTATTTCTCCACTTTTGTATTGATAATGCAGGCAATTATGGAAGTGGGAACTATAATGATTTTGGAAACTACAACCAACAACCTTCAAATTATGGTCCAATGAAGAGTGGAAATTTTGGTGGCAGCAGGAACATGGGGGGACCATATGGTGGAGGTATCGTATATGTCCTGACCTGCCTTGGAGCCAAACAGACTGGGTGGGCTTTAGTCTTTTGGGGAGGTGGAAGGGACGATAGGGTAAGGGGTAACTCTTTTCAACGAAAAGAGGGCAGATTAAGATTAGATATAAGGAAGCAATTACGACGAGGGTGGTGAGGAACAGGTTGCCCAGAGAAGTTGCGGATGCCCTATCCCTGGAAAGAAGTGTTCAAGGCCAGGTTGGATGGGGCTTTGAGCAACCTGATCTAGTTAAAAGATGTCCCTGCCCGTGCCAGGAGGGTTGGAACTAGATGATCTTTAAAGGTCCCTTCCAACCCAAACCATTCTATGATTCTAAGATTGATATGTAGAAATTTGATAACTTCAGCAATAGATGGACTGCAGTGCCCATGTTCTTTCTCCAAGCTGGCTACAATTTCCCATCTTGAAACTGTAAAGCTTTTCTTGGGGAAAATTATTATTACTATTGTTTACGAGACAAATGACAAGATACTAACTTTTTCCAGAATATTATGAAATGTGTTGCAGTTTCCAGTCTGTAAAGACTTTAGGCAAGTTTCATGTTCTTTGCTGTCAGCTCAAACTATTTGTAGAGAGTCTAGTTAATGTCCACTAAACTTGCTGGGATTTCTTTTTTCCCCCCTCTTGTTGTAGTGTCACTTTTTTCTGAAACTTTCTGCTTTTTGTTGTCTAAATGTTATTTAATATGGCGCGTAAAGCTTGTAAAATGGAAACTGAAACACAAAGCCCTTTCTTGTAAGGTTTAGCATGCAAATAAAGTCAGCCCTCGCAGGCTCAAGACAGTACAGTGCATCAAATGACATGTGACACACTTGAATATTCTAAGATGTCAGCATGTAGTTCTTGTGGCAATTCTTGGAGGTTATTTAGAGGAAGACAGCGAGATGTTAAAATCTTCCTTTTATATGCCATGTCTGGAAGTAAAGTGGATGTTAATCTTCATACAGAATCAAAAGCATTCCTAGATTTAAAAAGTGTATTGATGTAACTTCTTTTTCTGCAATTGCAGGAAACTATGGTCCAGGGGGCAGTGGAGGAAGTGGTGGATATGGAGGGAGGAGCCGTTATTGAGTTTCTGCAAGCATGCCATGGGTAAGTATGTTTATAAGTGTTAAAATTGCAGTGATTCTTGAAAGTAGCTGCAGGAGCTAAAAGCTTTTTAGGATCATATTATCTTTCCTTTAAAAAATGGTTAGATGAATAATTTCATAACCTATTTTTTTACTCTTTACTTCTGTTGAAACAGGCTTCACTGTATAAATAGGAGAGGATGAGAGCCCAGAGGTAACAGAACAGCTTCAGGTTATCGAAATAACAATGTTAAGGAAACACTTATCTCAGTCATGCATAAATATGCAGTGATATGGCAGAAGACACCAGAGCAGATGCAGAGAGCCATTTTGTGAATGGATTTGGATTATTTAATAACATTACCTTACTGTGGAGGAAGGATTGTAAAAATGCCTTTGAGACAGTTTCTTAGCTTTTTAATTGTTGTTTCTTTCTAGTGGTCTTTGTAAGTGTAGAAGCATTCCTTTGATAATGTTAAATTTGTAAGTTTCAGGTGACATGTGAAACCTTTTTTAAGATTTTCCTCAAAGTTTTGAAAAGCTATTAGCCAGGATCATGGTGTAATAAGACATAACGTTTTCCTTTTAAAAATTTAAGTGCGTGTGTAGAGTTAAGAAGCTGTTGTACATTTATGATTTAATAAAATAATTCTAAAGGAAATATTGTGTAATTTTAGATTTTTTTTTTAATATTGTAAAATAAGGCAAGGAGTGGGTAGTATAAGGTCCCACAAATAATATAAAGCTATTGTTGTACATGTAAAATTAAATGCTGGTCAGAAAAAAGTATGTTGTCTGTAAATGATCAGGTTTAAAGTATCTAGATAACTTAAGGGATATCTCTGCAAGGAGAAACACCTTTTTAGATCTTTTAGATGCTGCTTCTTCAATGGCAAGGAAAGGAAATATCCCCAGCGAGGTACTCTTCCAGGGACACAGGTCTAGTACAAGAGAACTCTTGAAAACGTCACTAAGTTCAGCCAGTCTTAAAAAGCTGCGCTGTATTTCTGCAAAGCTTTAACTACAGTAGTTTATAAGGATGCCAACGAAGGCTGAGGGTGTAGAGCAAAATAGTTCTAAGCTTCAGTTAAACTTCTTTAGGTAAGATCTTATTTACTTTTCCTTTCTTAATGTTCCAAAAACAAGAAACTAATATTGTTTGACAGTATTCTTTCAGTATAGTGATTATCGTTATGTAGTTTAACATAGCAATGAATTGAGTTAACAATTACCAATTGAAAAGAAATTTGTGAATCCTGTTTTCTTGTATTATTAAATTTTTTACAAACAAATTTTTGTTAATTTCAGCTACTTAACATATTTTTTTCCTACTGGAATCTAGCTATGATATGAACCCTGGACAAGCATAGACTGCTGCCACTGTACACTGCTACAGTTGAACAAATGAGACCTGCAAGTGTCCATTAGTAAAGCTTTGCAAGGGTTCCATCCCTGGTGTTGGTAGTTAAAATGGTAGGTCACAAGTTAATTAAATCATACAACTTTATTTTTGCATCCTGCAACATTTTATTTTTTCGTGGGAGTCTATGCATTATGGTGGTTGCAAGGTAATGCGATGAAGGTAGTTCTGTGCTGTTGAAAATGAACTATGTTGTTATGTGTCTTGTCTACTGTAATCTATTTTATATAACACGTTTCATCCTGAAGGTTCCCAAGTAACTGTAGACTGTTTACGTGTAAGGAAAAAAATTGCACCACAGAATACATCTGCCTCTGTGAAGGAGTGTGTCGTCCATTCTTTTAACAACTGCATAAGCAGTTCTTTAGGAGGGGAAGTGAAAACTTCAAATGAAACTGCAGGTGGTATTTCATAAGTGTATAATGTAATTATGTAAATTGGAATTTGGCTAGAATGTTGAGGTTTCCACCATTTTTTATAGTTCTTGCAGCTAATAAACCTTAGTGCCAAATTCAGTCAGCCTTACTCTCACTGCATTGAATGTTTGCACCTCAAATTACTGGAAATTCATCAAGTAATGAGTTACTCAGAGTAAGGGTGGCGTACTCTACTAGATCTGGTTTTTCAATAAAAAACAACAAAACCCAACAAAAAAAAGGCAACCAAAAATGCCCTAATTTCAAAGTTTTATCGCCTTTAAAAGGCTACCCACTGAAGAATGTGGACTCAGCTAACAAAAGTCCTGTTCCTTTTTGTGTTAGACACACCAGTGAACTGCTTATACTTTTTTTTTTAAAAATGGCTGAAGTTCCCCTATTGGTAATTTGGTTTAGACATATGTGATAAACATCTTCAGATACACTTTTTTTTTCTTTGGCAGGAAGGTGCCATGCTGCAGGTAACTAATGAAGAAGTGGTCAACCACAGAAACGCTTCAAGAAATAAGAAATTCTGTATCATCAGAAAATAGTTGTTTTTGCTGCCTTCATTAAAAACCTAGAGGTTAAATGAACACTGATAAAACATCACAATTAGTACAGCTCCCTGTAATGCTGGGTTTTTTAAATTATAGTAATAATGTCTTGTAAACCTTTCGAATAAAACTCAGATTCGTTAGGAGAAACAAATCACTAATGTTAAAATAGCAAGCATTCTGTGAGTAGAAAGTTTAACTACATATTTTTATAACTTTCATAGCTTTAAAATAAAGTATTTTTTATACCAAAGTAGTTCTAGTGTAATGCTTAATAAAACTTAGTGTGTGTCTAACATTAAATAATGTTTATGTGCAGCTTTTAGACCCTTTCATGATTTGAAATACTCCATTTTGAGGTGGATTTAAAACAAAGTCAACTTGGCAAGTGTATTCACAGAACTTGTATCTCTGACCACAGGCATCTGTTCTCTGTTGGGAGAAACAGTGCTGCAAATTAAAAATGCTGATCTTTTTGCTGTTGGACACAATTGCTTTAAAATAGCTTTTTGGCTGTGTTTTATATCGCTTTATAAAAATACCTCCTCCTTTCCTGTTAATGAAACTAACCACTTAAGACAGTTTGTCAAAATGTGATAGGACAATAGCTTTATCCTTTTCACCTGTAAAGAGCTTTTAGCATCAAGAGAGAGAGACTGAATGGAATGTAGAGTTCCTGCTGTACCAGAACTGTGTTACTGATAGCTGCATCTTCTGGGGGGAAAAACCAACAAACAAACAAACAAACCCAAAACAAAACCCAAAACAAAACTCAACAAACAAGCGTGAGCTTGGGAAAGCTTCAGTTGGGAATGTATTTGAGGGAAGGTATCTTCAGTCTATACTGTTTTAACCTGTTACCTACATATGCGATTTATTCTGAACTTGAAATTTATATGCTTAGCTTTGGCAGAATCATACTGTCTTTAACCTTCTTTATAGAATTCAAAAATACTATTCAAGGGTTCACATACGATTTTTTTTTCTGTGTTCCTTAAGTTGTACTTTGAAATACTTGTATAGGTAACCAGTGGGCTGCAACGGAAGCAGAAAATGAAGACGCACAAAATCTGCTTTACTTTCTTCTTTCCAACAGAATCAGTTGACCAGTTGCTAAGGAATTTGCCTTCTTTCCTGGAACCTAGATTTAGTTAATGGAAGTTTTTTCTTTACAGTTGCCAAGTCCACATTCATGTAACGTTAAAAAAACCCCAACCCCCCCCAAAAAACAAAGGGGGGGGTAACTCTCTCTTTCTGTTTGAGATCTTTACGCTCTTACAGTACCTCTGCAACAAGGTTTAAAATTCACTTGAATTAAGTAAGTTACATTTTCCATAATGAGGATGTTTTAATTTCGATCTACTGGCGATGGGGGAAGGGAGCATATAGGGGACAGCAGTATGCAAAAACTAAGTTATTAGATATTTAAAGTCTTGAAAGCCTGGAGTATTTGAGTAAGTTTCCTGTTGTCTTACTGTTGAACTTTTATGACTTTTCGTTCTTGGTTATGTTCTTAAGAATTAAAGCAAGTGACAATCACAATGTTTACTGACGAATTCAAGTAAGAGAAGTCACCATTTTGAGCCAACCGGATACTGAAAGCTAGGAACTTTGAATAAAAACAACAGTGTGTGGTCAATTACTGGTCCTCAATTTGTAGACAATGTATACATTTCCTCTTTTAGTTTCTAAGAGGTCGCTTTTACATCACTCTACAGACTTTCTGTTTTTGAAGTAAGGGTGACATTGCTGGTCAGTATGTTTCAGTGTGCTGACAACGGAGGATCGGCTTGTCAGAACTAGGCCCAGCTTGCCCCCAGCACACACTGTGCAGCAAACAGGGAGAGTGTGAAAGACAGTGTAACTTGTTGGTAACTGGTATGGGAGCAAAAATAACCCCAAAAATCTGCAGTGTATGACTTGGCATTTATAAAGTGGTGAAGAGAGGTCAATACTAGGGTTCTGGCCACTCGGACTCTGTTTTCTCTGTATCGTTTACAATGAAAGTTGGATTTTATTCACTTCCATTACTTGTGTTTCAGGTGCTGAAAAGTGTTCAGGAAAATGTGAGAAATTGCTTTTAATATTGTAAAATTAGCAAGAATTTAACTTTGTCATGTGTGGGGAAGAAGATTGCATTATTTTGGTTTTATGATGAATGTACATATTATCTTGGGGATGAAATCATACTACTACTGGGGAAGAAAAACCCCAAAAAACATAGATCTGAATTTTGAAGGAGCCGTCGGCTGAGTTTATTTTGGCAACTTGACCACATTTGTGAAAGAGGATGATTTTGCTGAGAACATACTGAAACAGTACATCCCCTACACCTTTAGCGTTTCAATTTGTTTTCAAAGCAGGGTGCACGATGCACGTGGAATCCCGCAGTAGCGCTGTTACTTCTTTTTTCTCCTCCTAAGGGAGGTGCCAGGTTCTCTTCTCGTTTATACTGGTAGGAACGCGCAGGGGCGCAACGTGGAAGGGTGTTCCTGGGTAACCCCGCTCCGTTCCGCCAGAAGTTGTACTGTCCCTTTTCACAGGTGCGTTCTTGCTTTGCAGCTAGCGTTGATCTGCATCGCAGCAGAAGTTACTCCAGTTAATGTAAGCGAGAACTGGTTTATTTATCAACAGTAAAAGTAAACAGTGTTTAACTTTAAATGGCTGACTTGCCTGACAGATTGCTGTGAATGTGCTAGGTCAACAGCGTTTGGGGACCGCGTAGTTCACAAACTAGCTTCTGTGACCTCCCGTGCTGCTTCATGGTATGAACAAGGTGACTTTGTGGGCAAGTCCTACAAAATTGCTGTTCCCCCTAAGTTCTTGTCAACATGTGATCCCCCCCCCCCCCCCCCCCCCCCCCTCCTCCCTTCCCTC